AATAATTAATTAAATGTGTCATTAATTAGATAACATTAGAAATAAATAAATATATTTTATCTAATGAAGTGAATTTGCATTTAGATGAAATGAATGGGCATTTAATTCATTATTGAACGATTTATTTAATTAACAAATTCAAATGTTAATTAATTAATGAAACATTTAATTATTTAATGGCGTATTTAATTAAATCATTTTGTCACTCCTGGTCCTCCATTATACACGAGCACAGATTGTGCTGCAGGAAGGAAGAGCAAGACAGGACGTATGCGTCGCACCACCCCGTACATTTTTTAAATATCATTTATTTTTGCTAAAATATGCAAGTCTATTAAATAAATGTGTTCCCTGGCTCTGGTATGAATTAAATGCTTACATTTGTCAATTCATTTTTTGTAATTACATTGTGCCAACTAGCCCCATTATGCATTTCTTTGATAAGTAGCAGAAAATGTAAGTATAAAAAAATCTATATATTTATTATAATTTATAACAACTCATAATTTAAGATTGTGATAAGCGGAAGAATTTATTTTGAAAACCGGAAATTCATCAAAAAGCTAGCAAGCTAACAGGTAGCCGGTAGATGTTTTCCTGTTCAGGTCTTGCCGTAGCTTGTCTTTACCGTGTTAAATTTATACCGTCTCTGCAGCAGGCTAGATCTGTCACTTTAAAGGCTGTAACGTTACCCGACCTTGTGCTGGTGCTCAGCTGCCGGTACAGAGCCCCTCTGCCCGGTGTCGCCCTGCACAGAAGGCACTACTCCAGAAACAGACAAATGCCCAAAAAGGTAAGAGCGGTTATTCCACTTTTGTGTATATAGATTTTTTTTAACTTCATTTTCTCATTGATATGAGTCAATTAAAGTAAAGTAAGTACTTCTTTCAACCATCTTTTTGATGGACATTGTTTATGCTAAAGGTCCAAACAGTTTGATTTGAATTTTAAGGAGTTTAAAGATTGAGTGCAGGGCTTCTTCGTTTGTTGCGACCTTTGTTATTAAGTGTGCCAGTGCAACAGCATTAAGTCACAATATCTTCTTCTTCTTCTTCTTATTATTATTATTATTATTATTAGTAGTAGTAGTAGTAGTAGTAGTAGTAGTAGTAGTAGTCTTAGTCGTAGTATTCAACCCTTACAAAAGTAGGTTTTGTTTTTTGTTTTTACTAATTCATGAACAGACAAATACCCAAAAAGGTAGAACAGCTCCCATATTTAGGATGAAAAGAAGAAGAACATGCCTTCTATTGTCTGTCTGTTGAACATGTATACTGGAACTGTGTCCTTATAATACACACTGGAGAAGTGAAAAATGTGTATTTTGTACTTGGGAAGTTGCTGCTGCTGCTCACACAGAATACTTCTTATACAACTTCTAGTTTTCACGAGGTAAGCTTTTCTCTGAGATTGAATTTCTAGTCTTCTATCCTTTCTGTTTCTCTACCTGATGCAGACAGCAGGGGTTTTCACTCCTCTTCATTTTACTGTCTTTAGTCGCCATAGAAACACTTCCCCACAGCTGTGTGGTGATAGCACACTTACAGTGCATTCCAGATTAGAATGGAATTTCTGAGTTTCCAGTCCCAACAGCTAGAATTACCAACTCTGAAAGAAGGAGCAGCTCCACCAACCCCGTGTTACTGATCCAGTGTGGCAGCAGTGAACGTAAACAGTAGTAAAAGTGTAAAACTTGCAATCTGTTACAAGATTACATTGATGGGGAAACCTGCAGTCAGCTCAGACTGAAGAAGTCACTTGGATGAGTTATGAAATGTTTCTCCCACTGAAAACGCTACGTCCAGATGAACAGAATCCACTTTTTTGGATTTCTGTACCTGGATGATTCAGCATGCATCAAGACTGGCAAATAATGAAGCTAGAAGATGGTGGTGTGTTATAGTCTTTTGTAATGTTCCTAACAGGATATTTAAATGCAATGTCTGGTATCCGCTGCATGAGAGACTTGGATAATGTCACTACTATAAAAACACTTGTGAACAAACTCCCCTATAAGCTTAGAAAGCTCATATGATCTGCAGGAAAAATCAAAAAGGAAGGTTGAAGATTTTGTCAAGTGTGTTACTTATGGTGTAAGCTATTTCTAGATTCCCAATTGTTTTACTGTAAGATGACTTAAAGGTAGAAAATGAATGGAAAAAGCATGTAAAGAGCCAGTAATGTTTGACTTAAGCTCTTTTGTGCTGTTAAACCAGGTGAAAGAACAGCTGGCAGGTTGTGGAGGAGCGGCCGTAGCAGAAGCCTGTGGTCCAGTAACCAAAGACAAAAGTGGTGCTGTAACCATAAGAGTTCATGCAAAGCCCGGCTCCAAACACAGCAGCATCACAGGTGTTTGTATAACAGAATTGTTGATATGAACAAAGTGAAACACAAATCACACTGCTATCTCTTCTGCCATGCTTTCAGAAGTTTCTACAGAGGCAGTAAGTGTTGCCATCTCAGCACCACCTACAGATGGAGAGGCCAATGCTGAGCTTATTCGCTACCTGGCTGAGGTTCTGGGCCTGAAGAAAAGTCACGTGTGTCTGGACAAGGTTGCTGAAACTTATAAGTGGAATCTTGGTGCAATCTCAGTACACACTTGAGTATTTCTGTATACATTGACATTTGTCACTAAGCATTTCTCACTTAATATTTACTTAAACCGTCACTCATGTACATATCTCACTACATACAGTGGTGTGAAAAAGTGTTTGCCCCCTTCCTGATTTCTTAGTGTTTTGCATATTTGTCACACTTACATGTTTCAGATGATCAAACACATTTTAATATTAGACAAAGATAACCTAAGTACATAAAAAATGTAGTTATTAAATGGTGATTTAATTGATTAATGGAGAAAGGTTATCCAAACCTATCTGGTCATGTGTGGAAAAAGTAATTTAAACTATTTAAATGATGACTTAGCTGTGATTTTGAAAGCTGAGTTCAGTTTCACTAAACAGACTCAGGCCTGATTAATGGCAGACCTGTTGAATTAAGAAATCAACTAAATGGAACCTGTTTGACAAAATGAAGCAGGCTAAAAGATCTCAAAAAGCAACACATCATGCTACGATCTAAAGAAACACCTGAGACACAAAGTCACTGACATATATCAGGAAAGGGTTACAAAGCCACTTCTAAGGCTTTGGGACTCCAGTGAACAACAGTGACAGCCATTATACACAAATGGCGAAAACATGAAACAGTGGTGAAGCTTCCTAGGAGTGGCCAGCCTACCGAAATTACTCCAAGAGCACATCGACAACACAAAATAACTCAGAATAACATTAAAGAACTGCAGGCTCAGGTCAGTGTTCATTGTTCAACAGTAAGAAAGAGACTGTGCAAAAATGGCATCCATGGGAGAGTTCAAAGAAAAAAATACCACTGACCAAAGAGAACACAAAGGCTTATCTCACCTTTGCCAGAAAACATCTTGATGATCCTGAGGACTTTTGGGAAAATATTCTGTGGACTGATGACACAAAGGGTAAACATTTTGGAAGGTGTGCATCCCATGACATCTGACATCAGACTGACACATCATTTCAGAAAAGGAACATCATACCAGCAGTAAAATATGGTGGTGGTAGTGGGATAGTCTGGGGCTGTTTTGCTGCCTCAGGACTCCTCCAATGTGACTGAATTACAAAAATTCTGCAAAGATGAGTGGGCCAAAGCCCCTCCACAGCGCCGTAAGACACTCATTGCCAGTTACCACAAACGCTTGATTGCAGTTGTTGCTGTTAAGGGAGTTGTTGATAAAGTTGTTGCTGCACCAGTTATTAGGTTTAGGGAGAAATCACTGCACTTTGTGTTTACTTGTTATGTTTTTCTAATATTTAGATTTGTTTGATGATCTGAAACATTTAAGTGTGACAAGCATACAAAAAAATAGCAAATCAGGAAGGGCAAAAACACTTTTTACACCACAGTATTCACATTCTATACTGCATTGAGTATGTGTAAGCGGCTGTAAGCAGGCAGCAGTAGATGGCACTGTGTCACTGTTACTGTCTGTTGGGGGCTTCACTGCAGAGATTGCATGTTGTGGGTATGGTAGGGTTTGAAGAACGAGCTCGATAGTGGTCGTAACACTAAACAGCCATTACTGTAGTGTGACTTGTCCTGTGCACTGAGAATTTTAAATGGTGTCAGCTCCAGGGGTGTAAATTAACTTTGTACCCAAAAGTACACATGTGTACTTTGAAAATGTAAATGTATTACACAATATATGTTTTATATAGATACCTTATTATTAGATCTAAATATGCAGCAAGGACCATATAGAGGAGTGACACTGACTTTGTTTTTTGTGCTCCTAAACCTTTAAGCTGCCAAATTGTCATTGTCATTCATTCTGTGGCTTCATGATGGTGCACTGTCACAGTAAGAAGGTTCTTTTTTTAGGGTGAGCAAAGTTTTATCCCATTGTATCATATATTGTTTAAGTCCTTTCGTCTGTATTTTTTAGGGGTCCAGGTCCAGAGACAAAGTCATCAAAGTGGACTCTTCTCTCAGTCCAGAGGAGGTGTTGAGGAAGCTCAGACAGGCTGTAGGCTGACAAGAGGGATGTCAGTTTCCAGCAGTCATCCAAACTTACCTGGATCTGTGTTTAAAGCAATTGTCCCTACAACTAATAAACTAATAGCTGGTTGTGCCACCTTTGACAGCAGGAACTGCTAACCAAGTTTGGGATACATGGGAATGAGTCATTTACAATTTGCTGTGCGAAATTTTGGAATGACATGAACAGCCTGTTTAAGGTTATGCCAAAGTGAGTTTTCCCTTGGAGCTCTACCATGGATGCTATTTTTGTGTAGTCTCCTATAGGTGTTTCATGAAGGGGAGGGGGTGGGTGTTCTGTATGAAGTAGGCAAAAGCGGAATAAAAATGAAAATTTTGAAACCACTGTATCTTTTATAAACAGAAATGAATTCTCCCAATCAATATAGCAATTATTAGCAAGCAATAGAAAGAATGCAAATTGAATTTTAGTAAAATAAATGTCAGGATGATCATCAACAAAATCTTTTTTCCCCCCAACTTAAATCATTTAACTCAAATGTATTATGTGTTACGTCCACCAGCTACAATATAGGATGTTCAGCCCAGTTTTGAATGTTAACAGTGGTTAACATTTAATTCAATTCATACAAAGTTCACACACACACACACACACACAGGACTGAAAGACAGCACAGAGGCACTAATCATGGCAGCACAGGAGCTCTGAGCACAAGATCCATAGAGGCTGGGGTCTACCACACCAGGCAAGACCCCAGGTGCAGGCTGCGTAAAGATGCATCTGAAACAATCCAGCACATAACAGCAGGGTGCAAGATGCTAGCAGGCAGGGCATACAAACTGACGGACAAACTGGTGATGGCTAACTGGGCATAGTAGTGAACAAGCAGAAGAATATGGGCATATTAATGTGTAGCAAAACCGAATAACAGCAACATCAGGAAGAAGGAACACGAGAAGCTGGAGAAGTACCAAGGGTTTACAGAAGAGCTCAAGAAGATGTGGAGGGTGAAGGTAACAGTGGTCCCAGTGGTAATCAGCACTCGGTGCAGTGACCCCCCAGCTAGGCGAGTGGCAGACCTCAGGACCAACATCTGAAATCTCTGTCCAAAAGAGCGCGGTCCTAGGAACAGCAAAGAGACTGCACAGAAACCTCAAGCTCTCAGGCCTCTGGTGGAGGACCCGAGCTTGAGGGATAAAAGACCACCCACAGGGGTGTGTGTAGGGGACAAGCCATCTAGCTCCTGAGCCACAGGTACCACATAAATGCAGGAATTTATGTTCTATACATTTTGAAGTCATTAACCATGGGTCTGTAAAGGACTCTTTAAGGTTTCAATATAACAACATAAAATCAAATTTAAAAAGCCCAAACAATGAAACACTCCAAGACTGTCCTGTGACGCAATGTGAGCTACCATATTTTCAGGTTTGAGAACACACCGTCATGCACATCCACGTGGATAGTCCCTGGAGAAACAAGAACAAAAATCTCATTAGCATCAGCCACAGAATCAGGAGTACAGTGAATTAGCACTGCAGTAATGATCCTTGCTTTGTTCTAGTTAAAACTGAAATGCTTCAAAGAGATGGCACCACTGCTGAATGTGAGCTGACATCAAAGCATGGCAAGATAATGATTTCGTATCAAACATCACAGCTCTTATGAAGCTCTATCATCAAAACGCTGACTTATTTTATATTCCAGCTCCGCAAGCAACATTTCTGCTTCTTGATGACTGTTAAATGAAGTTTATCTTCTCAGACACTGAGATCATTATATAAGCAATACCTTGTGCAGGGCTAAAGGGAGTTTGTTTTCAAGTTGGACTAAATCACACTTCACTTTCATGCTGTTTTCTGCTAACTGAAGTCACTTTTCGTGGGTTGTCTCCTCTGCTGAGCCTGGATCAGCAGCTTTATATCTGCATTTGAGTCCCACTGAAGCTCATGTCAGCCTAACGGAGGTTTCAAACGCTGCATTAAGCCTCTGCTGACTGGACGAGCATTTTCCCTCCTAAATTCAAGAGATTCATAAACATAAATCCCCCTTCCCTTCACACTGTATGCTGGAAGATCTCTGTGGTCAATTTTTGAAGATTATAGTCTATCAAAAGTGCTTTCTGCAAAATCAAATCAAGTGGTTATAAGCAAACACACAGTAATCACTCAAAGTTCTGGATAAACTGTGAAGTACAACTTCAGTAATCCTGCTGATATTTATTTAGACCGCTTTACACCTATTGATCTCTCTGAGGTAGAGATAGTTTTCAAATCATCAACATGTCTATTGGATACTATCCCTGCAAGACTTACTATGTTTAGTAACAGGTTACATACCACAAAGTGGCTGGAATTCTGAAATTACAGAATTACTTAAAAAGTTTTTACTTAATTTAGCTTCCTTAGCTAACTATAGATCTCTAAACTAACTTTGATTTCAAAGGTTCTCGGAGTTGTAAATCAGCTGTGTGATCATTTGCAGAGGAAAGATTTATTTGAAGAATTTCAGTATTTAGATTACATCATAGGACAGGAATAGCACCACTGATTGTTACTAATGATCTACAGTGTATGACAATAAAGTCTTCTCTGTGCGTATCCTGCTAGACTTCAGAATTTAATTTATCTGACAGATTCTTGCAAAAAAAGGTCATCTCACTGCTGTGTAGATAATGTCCTAATACACTGCAGGTATGTCTTAAAGATGTAAAGTCTTGAATACAGTGTAATTTTTCCTTTTAAATTGGGGCAAAACTGAGGTTATTGTATTTGGCCCTAAAAGTACAAGACAAAATTGTGTTTGACTAGATGCTTCGTGTGGAAGGCATTACCTTAGGCTCGAGTAATACTGTGAGGAATCTTGGAGTCATTTTTGACCTGGACTCAGTTAAACAAATGTCTAGGAATGCCTTCTTTCATCATATTTTTTCTGCAACAAATCAAGATTAGAAATATCCTGTTTCAGAGTGATACCAAAAAGTAGTTCATGCTTTTGTTACTTCTAGGCTGAACTACCATAATTCCTTATTAACTGATTCCAAAGATTCCCTAAGAAGTCTTCACTGGATCCAAAACACAGCAGTTTTTACTAACTGGTAGGAAAAAAAAGATCATATGCAAATTACCATCCTATTATCATTAATCTAAAAGAGCCCTTCTCTCCCAGACTGCAGGCTTATTTGTGGTTCCTAGAGTTTCTCAAAGGTGAACCTGTACCATTATTTAGTTTAGCTGCTATAGGCTGAGGCTGCTGGCGGGAGTTAACGTGATGCACTAAACATTTCTTCTCCGCTTCCCTCTTTTTTCTTTTCCTTCACTGCTATTTTCTTCAATGCCATGTGCCAATGGAGTGCAGAGCAGATACTTGAACTCTACTCCCACAGAGATCAATTATTCTGTCAATAGTATTACATCTATTATATCACGACATTGGTTGTCCGATCCCTTTGTGTACTCTTCCCACACTAAGGGTAATTATGGAGTTCCACAGGGTTTTGTGCTAAGACCAAATTTGTTTACAACATACATGCTTCCCTTAGGCAGTATCATCCGAAGGTATAGCATCCATCCATAAACTGCAGAGATGTCATAACAACATAAGACCTGCATAAGCTCTAATTTTCCAATTAAACTAAGATAAAACTGAGGTTGTTGTACTCAAACATAAAAATCTTAGAAAAATGGCATCTGGAACGTGTGCCAAAAGCCAAAACAACACCAGAAAACACTGCTGGCTAGTAGATATAATATCACTTTTGGTGTGCAAACATGACAATGGCAAGTATAAACTGCAATTGATGTTTCAATTATTGGATGTTATCAAGCTTTGTCTAATCTCTGAAGTTTAATTGTTGTCTCTTTGTGGTCCTCTCTTAACACTTCTCTTTCCCCTCATCCCCAAGTTGCAAGAGACTATTGCTAGTTGGTGTTGCCAGGAGAAAGCTTCTTCTCTCTCAAAAAACCATAGCAACATGGGTTAGGATTGCAAATCAGTTAAAACAGCTCTTACCTCATTCTAATAGTGGTGGAAGGATGTTGAATTGAACTTGCTTTGCAGTACGTCTGTTGTAGATCTGTAAGTGTGTGATTGGGATCATTGTCCTATTGCATGACCCAATGTCGGCCAAGCTTTTTCTGTCGGACAAGAGGCCTAGCATTTCACTGTAAAATGCTTTGGTATACAGAAGAGTTCATAGTCGAGTAACAATGTGTTGCAATGGCTCAGTCATAGACCAGACCAAGCCTAAATGAACTGAAGCAACATTTTAAAGAAGAGTGGGCCATAAATTACTCCACAATGATGTGCGAGACTGATGAAGTCATACAGAAAATCACATTTACCAGCAATACTTCAGGTTATTGTTGCTAAAGGTGGTCATGCAAGTTATTGAATCTTAGCTACTTAGCTTTGCACACACTGCTTCTGCTTTTTTGTTTCGTTTTTGCAAAATAAATAATAACATGGTATCATGGTGTCAACTTATTGTTCATCTGAAGCTTTATTTATTTAATTTTAAGACTTTGGCCCTAAACTTGGAAAGCGGTTTAGCTAACAAAATGTTTTCATGCTGAATAAGGAAAACTTTAGGTTTTCCATTCAAGAAAGAGAGTTAACGTCAACTCTAAATGAGTTACTGTGACAAAACAGACTGTGCAGAAGTGGGAAGTCAGGAGATACAAATCCTCGAAAAGTAGGGGACTTTTTTTTTTTTTTTGAAAGAGGTTTACTGCTCATGTTTCATGAGATGTCTTGGATGTTTTTCATCCTCTATAATGACAGTAAACTGTTTTTATACTAAACTTGGTTGTATGACAACTTAGATGGTTTATACTAGACAGTATGAATTTAGTGTAATGGTGGAATTCAGTGAATGAATAAGCATCAATTAAAAATCTTACTAATCTCTGCTACATTTTATAGCTATAACCATAAACACCACAGCCACTGTGCACCAGTCCAACTCACTGTTCTTTACTGCAAATCCATCTCACAGTACAGCAAACAAACCATTTTATCCTGCACTAGCCTGCAGAATATTGTAATGCAACCTTTAAATAACACAGTTAGTCTGCCTCAGTTTGTTTTGCAGCAGGTTTCACAATATGCATAAATATAACTTCATAACATATATATAGATCCAATATCTGATTTTAAAAAAGATCATATTGCATGTAAGGTTTAAATTCCCAGTTTATTAAATACCACTGAGCAGCCCTTACCTTTTACTCTAACCTCCCTTCATCCTTTACTGTCTGTCTTTCTTATCTTCTCATCTCTGAGTGAACTGAGCTCTCTTTCTTTTCTCTCCCTGTGAAATACAGCAGCTAAGCCTTCAGCTAGCAAACACACAAACAGTTTGTGTGTTTGCTGCTGTTTGTTGCATTTGGGTTGCATTTGCGTTGCATTTGCCACTTAAAAAAATGTTACTCCCTTTATGGTTGCTGAGTAGGGCTATCTAGATACTGAGGTACCACACTATGATGCTATAAATTATGCATAAATTAGTACTAACAGAAACGGCACTCCAAAAATCTATAGTCTCCATCTTTATAATGCTGTGACTTTGTGGACAGTTTCCTTGCATAGCAAACATTTACTGTAGATTACTTTAGCAATCATTGTTCAAATAAAAATGATCTCTATAAAGCTTTACACACAGAACAAACTCATCAAGGATCAATCATTTGT